ATGAAAAGACTCCAATGCATCAACCATATTCTACTCTGTACTTGGTTCAAAGGTGATGAGAAACTCTGAAACAAAAAAAAAAAAAAACCAATACAATGAATCGGGAAAAAGGGAAAATTCTCTCAGGACATATAACCAGGAGAATATGAAAAATACCTTTGAATCAATTATTTCTTTCAATCGATTAAGTTCCTCAACAGCAATATCCCAATTTTGCATCAATATCTCAGCAGCCAACTTCCCCCAGAGGGCACTCAAACTCCTTTCACTGTTTGTGCATAAGCCCCTGTACTGAAACAGATAGTCGGCAGCACCAGAGTAGTTGCCACATTCAAATTGAAATTTGGCATACTGATACAATGCCTCTATCTGGTCTGGACCAATCTGTTGAGATTTGAAAGTTTTCCAAAAAAATCATCACTTTAGCATACCTTCCACAATTATAATAAAAAGTCTTCTAAATTACTTGTTAATAACAATGAAAGCAACAAAATTGAAAATTCTGTAAGATGAAAGCCACAGTCATCAAGAAAAAGAAAGAAACTTTTTTAACAATAATGCAGAATGCAAAAGCCCCTAACCATAATCTATGCCTTAAAATAGCAAAAAAAAAAAAAAGAATGAAATTAAGATGAAAAGAATTTGGACCTGGTAGCGTTCGTTGAGCATCTGGAGATTGTAGTTTTTATCAGCCCTCAGCTCCTGTACGGCATTGGGGTTCTGCAAGAAGGCGACTAAGGGAGCGGCGGCCTCTTCCAAAGCCTTGAGGCGAGCAACCACCTCAGCCCTCCTATCGATCATGTCTTGAGGGACGTCTTCGGTGTGGTAGAGGCTCTTGTGGATGTCCATGGCGTAGTCGACCATGTTCGTCTTGTTTAAGAGCTCGATCTTAGACTTGAGGATCTGCTCGTCGGGGTAGAGCTGCCGCTCCTGCAAAAACTCCAGGAGAGGGAAGACTAGATGCCGGTCGAGGAGCGGCGCGATGCGTGGAGTCAGGTCGTAGGTAACCATAGCTGCGACGGTGCTGGAGAGCTGCAACTCCGACTAGGGTTTAAAGGTAGATGAGAAAGCAAAAACAGAGTTGTATTTAGGGATGGCAATTTGGCCCGATTCCCGTGGAGTAAATGTCCAAATAAGGACTTAAACTTTGTAATTTTTTTTATTTAAGAATGTAAACTTTCTCAATTTGTAAATAAGGTGGTTAACTTTCAATTGTTTTCTAATTAAGGATGTCAACTTTGAGTTTTTTTCTATTTAAGGATTAATTGATGGAGATGCTGACGTGGCAAACAAATTTTAAACGGATGTTTTAAACGAAATGCTGAAGTGTATATATATAATTTTAATTTGCTGATTGGACAAAAAAGTTAATTAAAAAAAAAACAAATCAGATTATTGGGCCAATTTATTCAAATAAATTTTCTATTTACAAAAAGAAAACAAATCAGATCTGGAAATTGCACATCTCTCATTTTTTTTCTTTTTCTGCGTTGCTGCTCTCTCTTCTTCTTTTTCCTTGTTTTCATCTCAAATCATGAATGAAAAACAGATTTTTCTCATTTTTTTTCTACGCCGCTGCTCTCTCTTCTTCTTCTTCTTCTCTGTTTTCATCTCAAATCACAAATGAAAAACAGATCTTTTTGAGTTTTTTTTTTTTTTTTTTTTTGCGCTGCTGCTCTCTCTTCTTCTTTGTTTTCATCTCAGATTTGGTTTCAAATCACGAACCGAAAGCACATCTCATGGGTTCGGAGACAAAAATGTCAACCTGCAGTTCATCCTTTGCACACTTGAGTGGTAGATTCGATCGACTCTTATGGCCTGCACTCTTTTTGATAAATGGTAAAATATATGTTTAATTTTCCATTGGTGGGTTGCTTTCTCGACTTTTTGCATGTGGGGTTTGTAATGGAATTTTCTCGATTTTTCTCCCTTTTTTGTTTCTAGGTTTTGACAAAAGGTTCCTACTCTTACTTGTTTTTTCTTTGTGCTAATTTGATGGTCCGTGAAAAATGGTATTTCAGGGATTTCAGGGGAAGAGGAAGTGCAAATTTTGGGTGTGGATTGTTAATCCGATGGAGCCTTATCTTTTGTTAATATACAGAATTCAGTGAAATAAAAAGGAAAGGTTGAATGAGCAGTTGATTAGTGAATTGAGGGCTAAATTGGATATTGAGAAAATGAAATTAAAAGAGCTTAATGATTGTATTGTTGAAAGTGCCAGTGAAGTGTGAGGTACAGGTAAGTGAACAAAAGTTGAAAAGTGTAGGGGAAAAGTTCGGTAGTGTTGTGGACAAATTATACATTGCTGGGGAAACATTGAGCAATATATAGCACAAAAAGAGCTTTGCAGAGAAACTGGCAAAGTGAATCACCAAATACTAAGTTCTGAAGGAAAGTTTTTGTTATGGCCATGCCATAATCTATTTTCTTCTAATGTTATTGTATGTACTAGTTTAGATTGTAGAAATGGTCTTGGATGCAAAAATTGTAAGCATGGAATGTATATTGATGTTAAGGCCGAGTTGCCTTGGAAACGACATTGTACAATGTTTTCTTTTTGAATAAAACTTGTCATCTTCCTTATCAAATTGTCTTTTGCATATCATTGTGCTACTAAATAATATCTTAAGTTGAAGAAACTGAATAGAAAAACAGGTTCCATTTTGTGCATCAACTAAAAACACAAAATATACAAGTGGAATAATTTGTCTATAGACTAGGAAATAGTGATTGAAAATCAGATTTCATTTTGTCCATAAGTTTCAAAACACAACTACACAGAGATGGCTCCTGTCAACATAAACATGGATGAGTCTACCATAAAAAGTAATCACCACAGACCAGAGATAACTCCTACCAAAAAATAAAAAGAAAAAGTCCATAACATAGATTCATGGTTAGTCTAGACTAAAATTCTAACTTTCTTGTGTGAGGCATTGACTTGAAAGTGTGGACTGTTGTTGTGAGCATGAAGGTTCAACCTCATTGGGGGACTTTTTTTGTCTTTTTGATTTTGCATTTCCAGTATCCTTGCAAAAAATAATACATTACTTTTAAAAAAATTATTATAACATAATAAATGATAGAATTAGAGAGAAATTATGGAATTATACCTTTTTTGAATTCTTCTTTTGTATCTTTTTAGTTGGGGGACCAGAATTAGAGAGCATGAAGGTTCAACCTCATTGTGTTTTCCGTTCGTGATTTGAAACCAGATCTGAGATGAAAACAGAGAAGAAGAAGAAGAAGAGAGAGAGCAGTGGCGCAGAAAAAAAATGAGAAAAATCTGTTTTTCATTCATGATTTGAGATGAAAACAGAGAAAAAGAAGAAGAGAGAGCAGCAGCGCAAAAAAAGAAAAAAAATGAGAGACGTGCAATTTCCAGATCTGATTTGTTTTTTTTTTTTTGTAAATAGAAAATTTGTTTGAATAAATTGGCCCACTAATCTGGTTTGTTTTTTTTTAATTAATTTTTTTGTCCAATCAGCAAACACATCAACAAATTAAAATTATCTATATACACATCAGCATTCCATTTAAAATTCATTTGTCACGTCAGCATCTTTATCAATTAATCCTTAAATAGAAAAAAACTCAAAGTTGACATCCTTAATTAAAAAAAAATTGAAAGTTAACCACCTTATTTAGAAATTGAGAAAGTTTACATTCTTAAATAAAAAAAATTACAAAGTTCAAGTCCTTATTTGGACCTTTACTCGATTCCCGTGGGGTCTAATTTGGACCTTTACTCGATTCCCGTGGGGTCTATGGGATGCCTGCCATGGGAA